GTTACTGACCGCCCGGTCAGTGATTCTCAGCATCAGTCATGACGATCATCAGGTGTCGGTTTGAAACCCGTGACTCATTCACTGCAGCTGAGGTCACCATGACCACCAGGTTCTGGAGGGTCTGCAGACCAACAGCCAATCAGATGCCAGTGCATCAGTGTCAGTGACGTTGGCTCTGATCTCCATGAACATCTCAGTCAGTGACTTCAGAAGATCCTGACAGAACCGGCTCCGACAGGATTCAAACACAGAACCTGGGACGTCAAGTTGTTGAAGTTGAAGTTTCCTTCAAAGAGTTTTTAAATGGTTTCCAACACCCGCGGCATCTTTGTTTCCCGCTCCCCCACCGTTCTGTTCACACTGAACTGGAGAAGAAAGATGCTCTCACACACACACACACACACACACACACACACACACACACACACACACAGACACAGGCTGGGCTCCAGAGGCCTCCACTGTGACCTTTCAGAACCAGATGGAACAGAACCTTCTCTCCACCGCCAAAATGTCAACATCTTCTGGTCTCTCTGCTTCTGAGACGAGCCAAGCTGGCAACAGGTTTGACCTCAGTGTTTACACTCACGCTCCGAGAGATGCAGATGCAGTTATGAATCACAGCACCAGGTCCAGACGACCACAGACCTGACCTTGACCTCAGACCTGACCTCGACCTCAGGCCTGACCTCGACCTCTGGCCTGACCTCGACCTCACCTGCAGGACAGAGGGAATCGAACACCACTGTCATCATCAGCTGCAGCTCACCAAAAAAATAAAAATCTAAAGTCGATGAAGACTCCAAACAGGCTCCACCTACTGGAGGAAATGGGCGTTGATGGATGGCAGCGGCCTCAGCAGTATCACTGCCTCAGCTGCCATTAACCACCCCCCCACTGAGGGGGAGGAAGGGGGAGGGAGGGGGAGGAAAAACATAGATCAAAGTGTTGGGTCTGCCCATCACTATCTCTGACTCTCCCACTTTCTCATCCTCACACACTCTGACGGT